ATATATAAAATATCTATAATAAATAAATGTAATGTATATTATATATATAATATATATATATTTTATATATATATATTTTACACACAATCTGTTGCCAGATGGAACTCAAGGCATGAAATAAAGGGTGACTGCTCATGGTGGAACCAGTAACTAGAAATGCAGAGCTTGATTCTATCGCCGTTCTATTTCTGGTTATTAGGGTAATATAGTTCCAGAGGAAATTAATCCCCAATTCAGCTCTCAGTTATTGATGATGTGTTCAAGCTCATAAAAATTATTTCACAGTGGCTTTTGCCCAGGCTTTGGGAAAGTCCCTGTGCTAAAAGTAATGGTGACTTGCTTAATAAAGTTGCAAATTGGGCCTCCTTTCTCACTGTGGCCTTTGCCACTTAGGAATTGGTGTAAGGATATGTTTCTCTACTATCTATTTAGATAATAAATAAATAAATAATGGCCAGTCTTCGCGAGCGAAGATTTGGGAAAGGTCATTAACCCTTCCAGCCTGCGCAGTGGATTTTTAGGTGAGACACAGCGTGCGCTGAACTGAGCCCACCCTTTAGTCCTGAGGTTCATCTGCCGGGGCCGAGCAAAGCTTGGACAGTGGCAGTGAGGTCCCCAGGATGTAGGTTTGTTTCGAGTGACCTTCTCTTAGGTGGATTGCCTTCCACGGCTGACGAGCTCCACCTGCCCAGGGGGCCGGGAATCGAACCGGGGTCGCAGCGGTGAGAGTCAGACACTCTAACCACTAGACCACCAGAGGCCCCCTTATTATATTATATTATATGATATATAATATATGGTAATATATAGTATATAATGATATATTATATATAATGATTAATATCAGTAATATTAATCATTAATATGATATATAATCTTTAATCAATATATAATGTATAATTATCTATGATGTGTAATAATATATAATATATAGTCATATATAATCGATAATCCATAATGATATATAATATTATATATAACTATTTATAATACATAACAATATATATTATATAGTCATATATAGTAATCTATAATCAATAATCCATAATGATATATAATATAACATGTAATTATCTATAATCTATAATCTATAACAATATATAATATATAGTCCATTATAATATATAGTAATATGTAATATTAATATAGTAATATAATCCATAATGATATATAATATATAATAATGTACTATATATGTAATATATATGTATATGTAATACTATAATATGTAATATGTAATAATATATAATAATATGCTATATATAGTATATATGTGTACGTAATACTATAATATGTAATATACAATAATATATAATAATATTCTATATATGTAATATATATGTAATATATATGTGTATGTAATACTATAATATGTAATATACAATAATATATAATAATATACTATATATGTAATATATATGTATATGTAATACTATCATGTGTAATATGCAATAATATATTATAATATATATTATATATAATAAAGATATATATAATAATATACTATATATGTAATATATATGTATATGTGGTACTATAATGTGTAATATGCAATAATATATAATAATATACTATATATGTAATATATATGTATATGTAATACTATCATGTGTAATATGCAATAATATATAATACTAATAATTACGTAAGGATTTAAAAAGGGAGGAAAAAAGAAACAATCTTGACTATTCCTCCACTTCTCTTGAAAAACAGGGATATTTTTCGTCGGCACCAAACCCCCCCAAGCCCCAGATCAGCCCTGCTCCCTAAAGCCTCCCTTGCTGCCCCTTTTGGGCTCAGGGAGTGGGCTGAGGGAGCAGGGGAGGGAAGGCCAGGGCCGTACATCCGTAGGGAGATCCCGTGGGAGAGCCGTTGATGAAGCCCGGCGAGCCCGGCACGCCCAGGTTGCCCATGGGCACGTTGCTGTAGCCGTTCATGCTGTTGCTGGACGTGCTGTAGTTGGACTGTTGGGGGGTGGAGCTGGAGGAGTAACCCCGGGGGGAGATGCTGCTGGTGTTCCGGATATAACCTGCGAAACAGTTCCAAATGCATCCATGAGTCCGGCTTAAAAATTAAACTCCCCCTTAATTAATCGACTCACTTAAACCAAGCTTAAAAACTAACCCCCCCTTCAATAATTGACTCATTTAAATCAAACTTAAAAATTAAACCCCCCCTTAAATAATTGACTCATTTAAATCAAACTTAAAAATTAAACCCCCCCTTAAATAATCGACTCACTTAAACCAAGCTTAAAAATTAAACCCCCCCTTAAATAATTGACTCATTTAAATCAAACTTAAAAATTAAACCCCCCCTTAAATAATTGACTCATTTAAATCAAACTTAAAAATTAAACCCCCCCTTAAATAATCGACTCACTTAAACCAAGCTTAAAAATTAAACCCCCCCTTAAATAATTGACTCATTTAAATCAAACTTAAAAATTAAACCCCCCCTTAAATAATGGACTCATTTAAACCAAGCTTAAAAATTAAACCCCCCCTTAAATAATGGACTCATTTAAACCAAGCTTAACTAAAACATTCCAGCAAATACCATTTAACTCGGTGGTTTTTTTCAAGTTAAGCAATATTGTGTTTTAAGTCGACTTTTGGAAGTGAACTGATGTGTATTTTTCTAAGGAGGTTTGATTTACTAAAAACTTAAATTTACTCAAAACCCCTGGACAATATTTTGTGTTTATCTTTTCTGGTGAGCTAGAATGTATATATATGTGGGAGATATATATATTTATATATATTATATAATATATATTATATATATAATATTATATATTTTGATATTATATATTTATATATTATGTATTATATATTGTATATTATATATATTTATTTTTATATATTGTATACAATATATTATATATATTATATATTGTATACAATATGTTATATATATTATATATTGTATATATTTATATATATTATTTTTATATATATATGTGGGATGTTCTACACATATATTTATATATTTACATATATGTATACATATATATATACATATATATTTCTATATTTTTATGTTTATATACAGACATATTTTATATATATATGGTTATCAAAAATGCTCAAAAACTGTTTAAACCATGGTTAATCTGGTTATCAAATAACTCAATAATTATTTCATTATCTGGTTAGTGAAGTGGTTATCAAATCTGGTTATCAAATATATTCTGGTTATCAAAAATATTCAAAAAATTGTTTCATCCAGAGTTAATCTGGTTATCAAATATACTCAATAATTGGTTCACCCGTAGTTAACATGGTTATTAAATATAATAAAAATTTATTTCAGCTGTTGTTAATCTGGTTATCAAAAATACTCAGTGACTGTTTCATTATCTGGTTAGTGAAATGGTTATCAAATCTGGTTATCAGTTATCAAATACACTCAGTAATTGTTTCATTATCTGGTTAATGAAATGGTTACCAAATCTGGTTATCAGTTATCAAATACACCCAATAATTGTTTCATTATCTGGTTAATGAAATGGTTACCAAATCTGGTTAGCAGTTATCAAATACTCCCAATAATTGTTTCATTATCTGGTTAATGAAATGGTTACCAAATCTGGTTATCAAAGGTACTCTGGTTATCAAATACACCCAATAATTGTTTCATTATCTGGTCAGTGAAGTGGTTATCAAATCTGGTTAGCAGTTATCAAATACACCCAATAATTGTTTCATTATCTGGTTAATGAAATGGTTACCAAATCTGGTTATCAAATATATTCTGGGTACCGAATATGCTCAATAACTGTTTCATGGTCTGGTCAGTGAAATGGTTATCAAATCTGGTTATCAAATGTCCTCTGGTTATCAAATACACCCAATAGCTGGTTCAGCCATGGGTGATGTGGTGAGTGGAAGGTGGTGCAGCCCCAGCACCATCCCAAGGGGCAGCACCCCCGGAGGGTGGAGGAGCCGCCTTGGCATCCCCGTGACCGGGATTTTGGGGTGCAGAGCCCAGGATCCCCCGCGGGCTCACCTTGGTTGTTGCCCTGGGTGGAGTCGGAGATGCTGACGCCCAGCTGGCTGCCGTAGGAGTTGATGCCCATCATGCTGCTGTGGGCAGGGGAGCTGGACAGCGCCGGGAGCTGGCCGGGATTCCTGGGAACGCTGTACAGGGCCTCGGCGATGTCGGCAGCTCTCTTCAGGATGATGTCCTGTGGGGGGGACACACGGTCAGAAACGGGATGGCAGGAAGGACATGGAGGGGCTGGAGCAGGTCCAGAGAAGGGCAACAAGGCTGGGGAAGGGACTGGAGCACAAGTGCTGTGAGGAGAGGCTGAGGGAGCTGGGGGGGCTCAGCCTGGAGAAGAGGAGGCTCAGGGGAGACCTCCTCACTCTCTGCAACTCCCTGACAGGAGGGGGGAGCCGGGGGGGGTTGGTCTCTTTTCCCAGGCAACCATCAGCAAGACAAGAGGGCTGGGTCTGCAGCTGTGCCAGGGGAGGGTTAGGTTGGAGATTAGGAAGAATTTCTTTGCAGAGAGGGTGCTCAGCCATTGGAATGGGCTGCCCAGGGAAGGGGGGGATTCTCCATCCCTGGAGGTTTTTAAGCTGAGACTGGATGTGGCATCAGTGCCATGGGCTGGGAACCACGGCGGGGTTGGATCAAGGGTTGGACTGGATGATCTGGGAGGTCCCTTCCAACCCAGCTGATTCTGGGATTCTATGAATTCCAGGGGTTTTTAGGGAACCTGCCCATGTCCCACTCCCTCCCCTGACCTGGTTGTTGTGGGGTGTCCCATACAGGGCCTCCACCAGGTCAGCAGCTCGTTTCAACAGCATCTCCTGGGGGAGGAGCAGAAAAGAGACGTTTTTAACAGAAGAAAAACCAATGTTTGTGTGTGGCCACTCTGAAAACTGGGTGACAGTTTTAATTCCTCCTTACAGAGGAATTATTTGCCAAGTATCTGAAAAATGGAACCCCTTCCAGCGTCTCCCAGACATCCCAGACTGTCAATCCCTTTTCCCTGCCAGTGGCTGTGGAGAGCCCAGGGCTTCATCCTGACCTGGAGCTCTCCAGAGTCCTGAACCTGCTCTGCCTCACCAGCCTCAAAAAGGGAGACACATTTCGGATGTGCCCGTTCCCTACTGAATTTCCATTTATTCTTGTGCCTAGACACGTAAATATGTGCCTATAATGCAATATATTCCTTTGCATAGACACATAAATACGTGTCTATAATTCAAAATATTCTTTTTGCCACTCTGGATGAATGCAGAGCACAGTGACCACAAACTGGGGAAATATCTGCAGTGGACTCTCATTTTTGCAGCAAAGGTTCACAAACAGTGCTGGAGCTCCAACAGATAAAAATTTCTGGCACCTCTGGGTTCCACACAATCACCTCCTTGTTGGACTTAAAACTAATTGGGGAATTATTTCCAGATGTGATTGTCATTTAAGGCATATTTTTGTCTCTTTTATGAATTAGAAGTGAAAAAAAACCCCCATATTTATTTGACTGAGTGAAATGCTTAAAAATATTTTACCTTAGCTAGTCTTTCAGGGTCACCAGGATGTCTTGGGATGACCTTCTGCAGTCTTTGGAAGCCATAATCTATGGTAGGTTCATTTAGAGCTGGAAGGAAAACATAAAACCCCATCACATTATATGAATATATGTATTTATTTTTATATATTTATTTATATATAAATATACCTTTGAGATATAACTATATATATATATATTTTTATATAAAAATATATATACCTTTGAGATATGCCTATATGTATATATATACTTTTGAGATATATATATTTGAGATGTATATCTCTTTGAGAGATACCTATATATATAAAAATATATATACTTTTGAGAGATATGTATATATATATACCTTTGAGATATATATATTTGAGATATATATACTTTGAGACATATATCTTTATATTATATATCCATATATATATATATACACCTTTGAGATATATTTCTTTGATATATATTTATCTTTGAGATATATGTATCTTTAAATATATATATAAAAAAATATAAATATATATATATTTCTATGGCTCTGTCTCAATAAGGGAACCTTTGAGACATATGTATCTTTAAATATATATATATAAATATATATATAAAAATATATATTTGTATGGCTCTAACTCAATAAGGGAACAAAGAAATCATGACTTCTGCACTTAAAACTGCTCCAGTTCTGATTCTCACCACCTACCAAAGGCTGAATGAATAATTTGGGAGACACAGCAGCACCATCACAAAATACCTCTTTTCAAGGTGAACGTGTTTGCTCTGGACAAACTGACCGTGGGGCAGCAATAAAGCAAATTATGGGGCAAACATAAATTAGAGCAGGTCTCGTGCTGTTGGTTGTGGAGGCAGAAATCCGAGTGTGACATTTGCTTTTTTAATAAACACATCCCACGCACGCCCCCGACGTTCTGCAGCCCCAAAGTAGGGCACAGCTCTTCGTTAGGCACGTTCAGCTCTCCAGCTGTGTTCTGCAAACATCCCCACTTCCCCGGAATGATGGGAATCTCTGGTGGATAAACCAGGAGGTTTTGACCCAGATCTTTAGTCAGCAAGAGCTGGCAGAGCCCTCTGACGATTCCAGAGAGCTTCCCGTGCTTTCCTAGCCAAATTGTGTTTGTAATTGGGAAATAAGGATCCCCTTTCTGGTCGTTCAGGAGGAGACTCCAATTTCCACGGGTGCAGACCCCAAAAGTCAGCCTTGCCTGCCTCTGGCACATCAGCACGAGCAGCGGGCACCAGCACAGCCCCGGGGATGTTTTCCTTGGGATTTCCTTGGCCTTCAGCGTGTGCCTTGGAACACAGACCCCACATTCATGCTGAGGATCCTGCTCAGAGTTTCGTGACACATTTAATGAGTAACACGTGCAAGTCCTTCAGCACTGCCCTCATTCGGTGCTGGATTCCATCCTCTCGTACCATTTGTGATTCTTTTGGGAAAAAAATGGCTTTTTTGGGTTTTTTTTTAAACGACTGGTGACTGGCACAGCTGAAAACCCCTGATTGCAAGAGATGCTGGTGGCACTTATTGAATCTTCCAAAATATCCTCAGCTCCTTCCAAGAGAACCATCTGAGGCACCAGGAGGATGAAACTATCAAGTGAGACAGACTATTCCACTGATCCAGGCTCTCTGTTTGCCTGGGTCTGTCTTTGGTATAACAACATGAAGGTAAAAGGTCATATTCCCCACTGAGATACATTTTATATTTACTTTTTATTAAATAATTACGGCATGGCATGAAGTTTAAATATTACAGGAGATAATCAAGTGGGAATTGAGTAGAGAAAACCCAGACCTGAGAATTTAGTCTTGGCTATACTTAGAATGTCTTTGCTCTCCACTGGGAGCCATTCTGGTTTGCTTAAGGAGTTTAATAATACACATTTCAACTGCCACAGAATCTACATCCCATTTGGGAAGAGGGGTTTTTTTTGGGGGGGTGGGTTATTTTGCCAATAATCCTGAGAATTATAGGCCAGTTCTCTCAAGAGCCTGTACATCATTTTGTGCCATTTCTCTTCTTGATTACCAATCTAACCATCTGAGTTATGTATCTTCAGCAAAAGAAATATGAAACATATAGGAATCCAAACATATATCTATGTACATAGTTCACTAAAAATAGCTAATGGGAATAGGCAAAATGCTAAATTTGGGAAGAAGAAATTGGCCATTGTTCAACCAACATTTTTCCAATGGATTGGCGTGGAGATTTTCATCCTGATGGATAAACAGAAGCAAATCATTTCTCGACAGTGCTGAATTGTTCTAAGAACTCAGCCCTTCTGAATCAATGTATATATTATGTCTTTCAGCACAAAGCTTTTCTGTACAGCCTGCAACCAAATTGCCTGCTACTCGTTTCACTCATTAATGAAACAAAAATATCTCTGTCGTGAAATCCTGCTAAAAAGCAGCATTTATGGGAGTGAATGACACCTTGCTATAGAATCCACCAGCAAGTTTAAACAGCTCCCCCACAATGCCACTTCCACTGAGAAAAGAGCTACTGGATCAGTAGGGATTTATCTGTGTATGAGACAGAAATATGCCAAAATTACGTCCCAGTGCTTTTGGGTTCCTGGGTTCAGGGACCATGAAGGGGTCTGACACACAAGCAGGCTGTTCATTATGCCCTGGAAAACAGACATCTGAAATTAAACCCCCCAGAAAACTGATTCAGGCCCAGCAAAAATCCCTTTGGCAACCCTCATATCCAGCATTTCAGGCTCGAGGGGTCTCTTGAACTTCCCAGAACATGGTTTAAAAAGCTGGGCACGACACAATCTAATGTATGCCAAAAAGAGCAGCCACCTAGTGAATAAACTAAACTGTCAGTGAGCCCACAGACCTCACTCTGGAATTACTGTTTCAACCCCAGGTTTGTTAAGATCAGCACTAGGGAGAGGTCTAAACGTGCCACAGACTGACTTTATTTATTCGAGGCTCCAATGGATTATGGGCACTGCTTCCCCTTTTACGTCATTCCCAACCCTCCAAAAGCCACGCTTTCATTTTAAACACACTGTGACTCGCTGGAACTGGAGGAAAAATAAATCCTCACAGCTGAGCAACTGCTGCCATGACACCTGTCTGGAGCTGCAAAACCTGCTCAGCAGCTCAGCCCAGCTCAGCTCAACGGGGACCGGCTCCGACACCCGACGGCAGCAGTGCTGACATTTAAAGTATTAATTATTTCACCACACATCAAAGCACATAAGACTGCTGAAGGAAGATGATGTTATGAAGATCTGCACAATTTACCCTGAGTGACAGCTCGTTCTGATGTTGCCTTGGGAGATGTGCTCTCTCTCTCCCCCTCTCCGCCGGTTGGGAAAGGGCCACGTTCCTTGGGAAAGGCAGACATTTCCTTGGGAAAGGGCCACGTTCAGGCACCTCAGCAAAGCTCTGCAGCTCATCTTTGCTTTGCTCCACGAAGCAGAGCAGAGGGCAACCAGAGGAAATGAAATATGGAGACCTCCAGGAATATCCTGAACCCAGAGGGAGAGCAGGGTTTGCAGGGGAATGCCCAAGCTCAAAGAGGTAACAGAGAAAAGGCACCTGTGCCCTTAGATCTTGAATCATGGAATCATGGAATGGTTTGGGTTGGAAGGGATCTTAGGGATCGTCTCATTCCATGCCCTGCCATGGGCAGGGACACCTTTCACTAGCCCGGGTTGCTCCAACCTGGCCTTGGACACTTCCAGGGATGGGGCAGCCACAGCTTCTCTGGGCAACCTGTACCAGGGCCTCACCACCCTCATATATCTAACCTGCATTTCCCCTGGTTCAGCTTGAACCCATCACTCCAGTTCCTGATGAAGAATCCCTCTCTGGCTTCCCTGCAGGCCCCTTCAGGTGTTGTACATCTCTCATTCCCCGTGTCTCTCCCAGGTTAAGGCAGTGGCAGGAGCACATGTTTGCTGTCACCTCAGCTGTGTTCTGGACAAGGGCACTCACCCTTCCAACCTGCAGAGCTCTCTGCATCCTTGGGAGTGTTGTTTCTCGCAAGACCTCCTCAAATCTACTCACAAGCTGTAGCAAACCAGTAGCTTCCTATCCTTGGAGCCCGGCACAGAGTCTGATACAGCACAACCCCAGCCTTTCCCACGGATGATTTTATATTGCATTGCTCTGACAAGGGAACCCCTGGAGGATTTCTGCTCAAGCAAGGAAAATTATGTTCCAAATCTCCCTGATATACACATTTCCAGGTTAGCATCCCTGTGACAAGGTAAATGCAGAGCTGTGATCAAACCTGAGATATGAAAGCCTGCAAGACATGCCCTCAGCTGGCGTAAACCGATGTGTTATTAAAGTCAGGGGAACTATAATGGAACTACTTACAGCAGCAGAGAATTTGAATTTGTGTAGTATTAAAAGCAGAATATGAGGTTACTGAAAGATTACCAGCAGAGAGGAAAAAAAATGCCTTATTGTTGTAGGAACAGCTGATGGGAGAAAAGTAATTCAGAACATCGAGAAGGGGCTGTGCAACCTGCGTTCTCGCGGATCAAGGTGCACAGGGGGACTGAAAGTTTAGCTGTGGGGATTTAAAAATGCACTCTTTATCTCTCATTTCAAGTATTTCAAGGATATACTTCAGCACTGACGTTGGTTCAGCAGCTGCCATTAGCACCTAACGAGCCATTTCTGCAGGTTTGGGCTGTTCTCTCCAGAACATCGTTACCCGCCTGCAGGATCCCCTTGGCCTCGCTCTTCCGAGACGTTTTCCAGCTGGGAACCTTATGGAAAAGTCCAGACAGCCCGTTCTGGCGATGAGAGGAGTTTGATGGCTGAGCTGCAGCACCCTGAGTGATAACCCTGAGGAGTGGAAATGCTGACAGACCCGTAACTGCAGCAGTGCCAGCACAGCACACTTTGCAGGAGCCCATTATAAATACACATTATGAGCTCCCATAACAGCTCCACTGTGGCATTTAGATTTACCCTTGAAATGTATACCTAATTTTTATATTCATCTCTTCAACAGTTTATCATTTTCCTCTTCAAACAGTCTTCCTGTGACTCTTTAAAGAAGAAAAAAGTAAAAGAGAACTCAAGTATAATCATGTTGAGCATAAATATTTGATTGCATATTAAATATTGGGGGCAAGGATACAATACTGGGATCACTTTTGTTTCCATCTTTTAGGAGAGTGTTGTGTTCTGGCAGTTAAAGGACATGACTAGAACCTGTAAGACCTATTTCCCTGTCTATTTTTCCTGTACAACCACAGGCAAGGGGTTAATCTTCATCCTTCTGTGGCAACAGCTCACATATAAAACAGAAGCACATGTCTTTCTGTAACTGATTGCCCATTTCTGATGCCCTGATAAACCTTCTGAGGTCTGGTTTTACATGAATAATTATTCTCCTTATACCTTTGAAGTCCCTACAGCCACCCACTCTCTGTTTTTCATATGACTTGACCCTTTGTGCTTTTCATCAGAGGTTCCACCTCAGCACTTGATAATTGTGAAGGACTCAATACAACATGACCCTGATAATACTGGGGCTGTTTGTTCTTGCTGCTGTTCCTGGTTCTGACAGAATTACATCTTCCCCTGCTTTTAGTTTGCAGGATTTCACACTTTTCAGTCTCCTGGGCTTGATGTTCCATGTCTGCATTTCTTAGGGTTTGGCCAAGTGCAAGCTGAAGGTATTTAGAGGAGAAATTCTCATTTATAGAGGCAGCTACACTAGTTATTAACACTTAAAGTATCAAGAAAATAATCAACTTCAATTATCATGGAAAAAAACCCAACAACCAGATTTTTGCTATGATGCCCAAGTCTACACTACCAAGAACTATTAAATCTGTTGAAGTTTCCTTTTCAGTATTTTATATGTATTTGTCTTCTACATTCTACCCAACAAATAGGTGCCCTCCTGTGCTCCAGCTGAGTATATTTTGCTATTTATATTTTTCTATGGATGCACACGTGCACTCTGTGGGCAGTGCCATTTAAACAACCTGGTTTCCTGAGGTTTGACCTGCTGGTAACTTCTCTGCTGTCTGATAACATGGTTGAGCTCTTCACCCTTTCTTCCAGTGAGGGATTAATCGAGATTTCATCCAAAAACCTGCTGGAACTGCACCTTTGATGCTCCACAACCTTTCTGATAAAATCTGACAGAAACTGGGCAAGAGGTTCGAAAGCTGGGGGAGTTCTGAAGAAGCCTTAGGATCATGGAATCATGGATTCATAGAATCATAGAATCATGGAATCATGGAATCAGAGAATCAGAGAATCAGCTGGGTTGGAAAAGACCTGTGAGATCATCCAGTCCAACCCTTGATCCAACCCCGCCGTGGTTCCCAGCCCATGGCACTGATGCCACATCCAGTCTCTGCTTAAAAACCTCCAGGGATGGAGAATCCACCCCTTCCCTGGGCAGCCCATTCCAATGGCTGAGCACCCTCTCTGCAAAGAAATTCTTCCTGATATCCAACCTAACCCTCCCCTGGGGCAGCTCCAGGCTGTGCCCTCTTGTCCTACTGCTGGTTCCTGGGAGCAGAGCCCGACCCCCCCCGGCTCCCCCCTCCTGTCAGGGAGTTGCAGAGAGTGAGAAGGTCTCCCCTGAGCCTCCTCCTCTCCAGGCTGAGCCCCCCCAGCTCCCTCAGCCTCTCCTCACAGCACTTGTGCTCCAGTCCCTTCCCCAGCCTTGTTGCCCTTCTCTGGCCCTGCTCCAGCCCCTCCATGTCCTTCCTGAGCTGAGGGCCCAGAGCTGGGCACAGCACTCCAGGGGTGGCCTCCCCAAGGAAGAATCACTTCCCTGCTCCTGTTGGCCACACTATTCCTGATCCAGGCCAGGATGCCACTGGCCTTGGAAGCAGAAGAGCCCTGCCTGCCTGACCATGGCTTCAAACCCAACGCTTTTGTCCACGGGGCCACAGCGGTTTCCTGATAACACAGGGAAGGGGGAGAAAAAAAAAAGCCACCCTGTTATATTTTCCTAGCTTAGAAGTTGTTTTTATTGCTATTAGCAGCACCAACCTGGGGGAATTAGTTACCCAGGTGAGGCTGTACCTCAGAGCTGTGTTTCTCGTTCTGCCTGCCGTGGTGGGAGAGCTGCAGGTTCTTGGAGAGACAGATTGGGAAGGTGTTTGGCCAACCCTCCACTGAGGTGTTCCTCAACATATGGCAGGAGCACCCACTCACTCCTCAGAGGATGGGAACACACATCCCTGTGCCAGGGACAGCAGGAAAACAGGCAGAGGGTGTTTAACTTTCTTTCCTGCTGATTCCTGTGTGCAGCTTCACGTCCCTTTTTTTGGGTGGAAGGTCTCAAATTAACACCTCAAAGAGCTGCACTGGCCTGACTCACACCCCCCCTGGATGGTACTGATCAGTCTTGCACTTAAAACAGCTTTACAACAATAATAAGATTTTTTTTTTCATAGAGGAATAGATATTTTTATGACACGTTTCTCTATTCTAACCCTCTTTCAGCACAGGCACCAACAGCTCAGTGTTGAAGACACCGAGGGCAGGGCCTCAAGGAGCAGAAAAAGAAGAATTTTACATTTAAATCTGTGATAAAACCTGATAAAGTAATAATATCTCTTCCTCTAAAGCACCTGCAAGGTGCTGAAACCTAAAGGTATTTGCACACAGGCTTGATTTGTCCTAATCAATTTGAGTTGACTCAAAATCAGTTCCAGTCAATGGATATAATTTCAGTACTTTTGATTAACTGTGGATTAGGTCTCTATTATAACAAAAACTTATATTTCCTTAATTATAACTGTAATTGTAGACTTAATTCTTCCTACAGGTTTCTAGGTGTGGCAGTTGTATGAATAAATACATAAATACACTCATTTAGATATATAAAATGGCATAAAACACTACCAGGATCTTCACATATCATTGACTCTTTCTAAAAGTCCTGAGCTGCCGGATTTCCATTCAAATTTTTCCACTTTTGGGAAAATTCTAACTAATTCATTCAACAGGTGGCAAAGTTTTTACCTTCAAATTTTTAATTAAAAATGTCTTGGACCTTCATTATCATTTTTGTGTTAAATTATGATTTAAAAATGGATACTTGTAATACCCAAAGTGTATTTCATGAGGATCGTGGGTAGCAAGAGGTTTACATAAAATCAGATAAATCCTTCCATTTTTGGGAATTCTGAATACCATTTGAGAGTCCTTCAACTCAGAGATAAATCCATCCTTTAGACCTCAACATTCTCCAGCCATGGTTTATAATTTCAGGAACTTTAGTGCATACATTGCATGTCATCACTGTCACTTCTGGTCACCCTGGTGCCACCTGATTTCTCCTTTCACGTCCATATATCATGTTCTCTAAATAAGTTGACAATCCACCTAAGAATTAGAAAACCCCAGATTTGTTTTCAGCTCTTTTGGCTTCTCTTGGTACAAGATGCTTCTCCTGGTCCCCTGGGATTATCCTAAAAATGAAAGGCTCTCCCCAGGCAGAGGGGAATGTAAAATAAATACTGTTCTGGATAAAACAGCTTCCAGAACGTGGAGCAATTTTACCATGTTCCTGCACACTCAATATCCGATAGGCAGACCCACATTTTGGCAACATGAGCTTTAATCTGGAAAAATCACATCCAAACTGCCCGAGTGGCCTCCAAAGAGCAAGAGGACAAATAAAAATAAGCACACAAACCAGGCTGAGAGTTGTCCACACCAGTCACCAAAATAAAAAGCTGGGAGCTCCGGCCCCCCCAGCCAAAATCAGTCACCTACCTGTGTAAATAAACCTGCCTGGTGCACCTTTGCAGAACTGTTTGGATTTGTAGGATAATGTCACTTCGACCACGCCGGGAATGTGCCGGGGAGGCGTCTGGACTCGGATGGCGTGAGGGGTGATGAGCTGGAATGGTACCAGGAGAGGCACAGTCAGGTGTCTGTGTCACCCCTTTACTTTGTGAGTAAATGACAGAATAATATCAGAGTAATAAAAAGGTTTGGGTTGGAAATGACCTTTCAAGACCACCCAGTGCCACCCCCTGCCACGGGCAGGGACACCTTCCACTAAACCAGGTTGCTCCAACCTGGCCTTGGACACTTCCAGGGATCCAGGGGCAGCCACAGTTTCTCTGGGCAACCTGGGCCAGGGCCTCCCCACCCTCATCCTAAAAAAATGCCTTCCTTATATCCCTCTTTCATTTCAAAACCATTACCCCTTGTTCTACCATCCCAGGCCTTTGTTAAAAGTCTTTATTCCTGTGCAGGAGACACAAAGTGACACATCTGCTCCACTTCCTTGCCTTCAGGAGAAGAAGACACATTTTAGGATGAAATCTCATCAGGAAACTTGTACTGTTCAGCCCATTGGTTAAATGCTGGCTTATCCTGGACCCAGAGGGAATTCTTTCTTTATTTCTCTCCCTTTACCTGTCTCCAGATGCCCAGAATTGTTCAGTCCCATTCTGGCTCCAATAAGATCCCACAGCAAGGAAAACACATTCCCTGAATTCCCCCACACGGGTTAGCACGGCCTGCTTTCCACCCCCCCACTCCTGGAACAGGGATCACCACTGGTCCTCCCCGGGGAAGGGCTTTTCCTACCCACCTCACTCCACACCAGCATGGTCCCAAAGACGACCTGCAGCCCATCGAAGAAGTTGTCCCCGATGATGATGACCATGGCCCCGCCCGTGGTCCACCCTTCGCTGGGGCTGATGGCTTTGATGCAGGGGGTGGCTGAACAGAGCACAGAGGACAGCAGAGCATCACGTTAGGAGGGCTTTTTGGGGTTTTTTTTGGTTTTTTTTTCTTTTCCCCCAACAGCTGTTTGGAACACTGGGTGTAAATCCTCGGAGCGGAACGGTGAAATCCTGTGAGCCTCAGGAGCAGCTTCACCCGTCCACACCTGGGAATTTCTGAATTCCCAGAGCTGGCAAAGGCCTAGGACAAGTCCTCTCCAACCATTCACCCACGGAGGCTGCTTCACCCTTCCACGAACCCCAGCAAATAAATAATAAATAAATAAATGAATGAATAAAAGCGTGTTTTCTGCCTTGCAAGTGTTAATTACTTGCCTATTTATTACTGGCACTTAACATGGTGTCATTAAAGCCTAATAGGCCAACTGTAGTGAGTGTAAAAATGAAATGCTTAAATGATTGTGCAGAGGCTGTTTAAGAAAAAAAAAAAACAACCCAACCCAGCACCCACTCATTAACATGTGATCCCACAAAAACAAACCCTGTGGAAAAAATAAAAAAGGCAGAGTCAGATTTGTTAAATTTATCAATGGGTGAAAAAAGATATGGGAATATCAAATGTCTCCTCCAATTCCTATCAGGAGACAATGTCTAATCATTTTCTTGATTTTATGGAGTAGATTTTTTTTCCCTTCTCTCTTCCATATGTTCAAGGCCTCTGGACTATACATCCCATCAGGAACCCAATATGGTTTCCAGGCCATAACCAAAGTCAATCCATCACTCCATTCCCAATGTTGACAGGGTCAGAGGTGGAGGGGAACTTTGGCAGTGCTCCAAAAACATGAGACTCCTTTGAACAGCCAGTCAATCACATCCAATCAGTCAAGGAAAAACTGGATGGCTTCCTAGGCTAGGAATCCTGGGATTTTCCTTCTACCATTTCACTGCCCGCTGGGGGAGAATTAACACCACTCTGAATTCTTTACTGATTCAATCATTTTCTTCCAGTTCATTAATTCTTCTTTTAGGTTGATACAGGGCACAGTTAAGAAGTGGGGCAGCAAAACATTATAATGAAATAATATCCTTGCTTGTCTTTTCTACTAACATCACCAGCTCTTCTCACTTTCCCTGGCTGCAGGGGAGGGAGAAGCAGACACAAGATAGCATTTTCCAGTAATTTGGAGCGTGAGGGAGGTGGAATGTGTCAGGAATGAACGTACAGGGAGAGGGAGAGGGACAAGGAGGGGCATTTTTTTTTTTTTTGAGGCTTAGCAGATACGAGGGTTTGCAATTGCTTTAATACAGTCCCCAACCCATCCTGCAGCAGGCCATGAGCCTGGCTTAGCCAAACAAACTCCCATCAATTAGTGTCAGCTCCCTCTGTGCATCGTTCTGCTCCGTGCAGAGTTTGTTTAAGGGAACCAGTGACACTTTTTCATACACATCTTGCGCTGCAGCGGCTCTGTTTAACTAAGATGTCATGTTGCCTAATTTGCCTGAAATCAAATCTATCCCAGCTGAATGAGAAGGCTGAAATTTCGATGGTGTTTTCTGTGTTTTTCATCTTTGCAGTACATACTAATTAATAAATTGGAGGGGGAGGGGGAGCCAGTCTCTTAGATGTGAAGAGGAGCATATTTTGCATGCACAGACACTGTTTTCCTGCCTCTTCCTTCCCTAAACCCCCTGAGGGTCTGCAGTTCCCCCTTGGCTCCCCTTCCCTCCTCAAAACAAATAGAAGCTGAAGAATGGGGGAGATGTTTTTGCATTCATTCGTGCTCTGCTCTTCAGACAAATATCCCACCTTCTGAGGGGTCAAGTCTCCTCGCTCTCCGTCCGTGCTTGGAGTTGTTGTGAACAAACATGTTGTCAGACACTGCCAGCACGTGCCCATCAACGTTCACTGTTGTCGATAGCACAACCTGGATGTTGAGAAAGGGAAGGAAAAGGAGGTAGGTAAACAATTTGCTTCGAGATTTGCCTTCTTAAGCGTTAATTATTCAGTTTAGCCAAAGCCCCGCTCCGTTTGGAAAACAGCACCACGTCCTGCAGGGTTTTACTCCCTGGCAGGAAGGGGAGGAAATATTTTCAGCCTTCATTCTGGGCATTAGTTCCATTTAACACAGCATCCTGAGGGCCATATAAAGGCCTGGCTGTATAATGAACCAGCCACTGCAGATGGCCCTAAATTCAGTTGCTGAGGTGCATTGTGGCATTGCTGATGGCAGAGAGGGCTGTGTACACCAGGCACGGGGCAGGCTCAGAGCAGCCCAGCAATGTGCCCTGGGATCCTCCTGCAGGCTCCCAGCCATCTGCTTCTGGCACACTCATGCAAATGGACCTGCATCTGCCTGGAGACCAGGCTCCACTGCCTGCAGCTCCATGAAAACCAACTAAAACCTGCTGCTGACATATCAGTGCCTCCTGAAAATCATCTGAGCCCGAGGACTCCGACTCAAGCAGCAGTTTTTAAGCCTCAGCCCCCACCACTGAGCTCCAGCAGCGTTTGAATTCTTAGAGGAAGTAACTGTATGTGCTAATTAAGCCCACTTTAGTTTTTACAATATCCAAAGCTCTAAATCCCCATCAATCCAGAAATATACAGTGCACCCTTAAACCACAAACTTTTAGGAAATATGAACAAACCCTGGTTTAGCTCCTGAAAGAAGATGTATCTTATTGAAACATTCAAGTTTGGACCATCAGTTGGTGTAAATCAGTTTAATGGTGTAAATCAGCTTGTGCCACTACACACCTAGAGAAAGTCAGAGCTATGGAAAATCAAACCCTGGATGAGTTCATGGATTTTCAGAGACAGCTGTCATAGTGCAGGTAAGAGAACGTCAGGCTCCAGTTGCTGATAAAACTCTATTCAGCACACAGAGGAGAAACCTTGCCCTCCCCGGGATTGTGAGAGCTTGAAGAACACTTTCTTTCTCGAGACAACTTTAATTCATTCCAAAAGGCTCTTGTCATGCTGTACTCTTATACTTCTCAAGCATTCTTGTCACAAAATGTGTTGCTTTTGTGTGCCAACTGATTTCCTCATTGCACATTAGGGTGGAGTGTGTCTCTGTCCAAAGGGAACGTTTCCCGCATGACATCGCTGAGCCCACTCAGATGCACTTCATTATTTTCCCTTAAACAATGGAAATAAATTTTAATCTCTCACTGGCCAGCGCTGTGGCAACAAGGGAATAGCCCTGAATTATTCCAGTGTCTGAAATATTTACGACAAGTGTTTAAATTGTAACCAAATGTAAATAAAAAGTGATCACATCTATACAGTTGCCCTGTGTAATATACAGGGGTCTGAACTCACCCACACGAGGTTTTGTGTGATGAATACACACCCACACGCTCTCAGGATGAGAGACTGAGAATATAGGCAGACCCTGAGTGTACACATATAGAATAGAATTATAGAACATCCTGAGCTGGGAGGGACCCCCAAGGATCATCCATCCCACTGCTGGCCCTGCACAGACACCCCAACAATCCCACCCAGTCCCTCAGAGTGTTGTCCAAACACTCCTGGAGCTCTGGTAGCCTTGACCAAACCCTGGGGATCCTGTTCAGTGCCCAACCACCCTCTGGGGGAAGAAACTTTCCCTACTGTCCCTCCTAAACCAGCCCTGACAGAGCTCCAGCCGTTCCAGGGTCCTGTCCCTGCTCACAGGGAGCAGAGATCGGTGTCTGAATAATCACTTGGGTGTAAATGTTGTGCAAAACACAAGACCCACATTTTGGTAAGAGATGTAGAGATCCCCAGAGCCTGAGCAGTCCAGAAGACAAGTGCTGAGCATCCTCCAGTCCCCGAGGCAGCAGGAATGGAAGATGCACTTCCAGACCTCTGTCCACGTGTGGCTCCATTTGGATTCACCTCTCCCACTCCTCACAGGAGGCTCAGAGCCACTTGGAACATCACAGGGACAGGATGAGTGCAAAGTTCAGATCTGAACCCAAAGTTCTGGCTCTTCTTTGCAGTCCTCTCCAAGGTCCTGCTGAAATCCAGCAGAGCCCTTTGTCATGGCCACAACACCTCTACCCAACTCATCACCAGTGGTGGGGAGTGAGAGCTGTGAGATTGTGGACACAAGAAGGGCTGAACTTCTTCACTTTGCTCCAGCCATTCCCTCTTGCCTGGTGGAGATCACGACACAATAGTTTCATACTGAAGATTAAAAAACAATGTTTTATGGATAAAAGGAAGAGGAATGTGCATTCCACTATGGTCTCTAACTCCCAGGCCCTTCCCTCTCACAAGCCAACTGCTTTCCCCCAGTGAGTATTTCCTGGGTCATGAAGGGTGACCCCTTCCATCTGGAATCAATCAGTCAACTCCTGACAACTTCCTGAAACACCTCACTCCATTTCCTGTTCTCTCCCCCTTCCCTCTTTCCCCCTGGTTTGCTTCACTCTTCAAAACTGCAGGCCACAGCAGCTTAATGTTAGAGGGTCAGACACAGTTAGACTCCAAAACACTACACAAGAACACCTTTGACCTTCAAAAATCTTTACATCTTAGCTAAACAAATCAAGGTCAACGTTTCTTACCATTACCTTGTTAACCATTTCTGTGCATTTTTGCCAAAACCCTTCTGAACACGTATTTATCAATAACACTTGTTCTCCCAACGTCGTAAAACAGTCCAAGCCCCTTGTTTTAAGGTCCCTGTGTTTAGTGCCGATGAAAGGTGATGTGCAAACTTCCCTAGAGACTTAAATTCTCACTTTTGTCCGCAGCAAATCGCTGGCAAACAGCTTTGGTGGGTTTTTCTTTTCCTGGTCTGGTGGCACCACTGCTCGTGTATGAAAATTTGGCGCCTTTGCCTGTTCAGTTGAGGGTCTTTTCCTCTAAAATCAGTGGTTAATGGAAAAGTTAACCCTAAGGGAATGATCTGAGAACAACAAAACACGTCAGGTGGGCCATGGATTCTGGTCACTGCAGCCAAATTTGGACACAAACAGCACAAAGACTGAAGATTTTGTGCCACCTGGGTCAAACAGCTCTGCTGGAGTTTCAGAGGACAACCAAGCAAGGAGCAGAGAGGGCAATGTGCTGTTCCTGCGTCCTTCCAAACACAGATCCCATCTCCAGGAGCACAGAGGCACTTCCAGGGCTCCACGTGTGTTCTCAGCAGCCCTCAAGTCCTCTCTGCCAACCTGCAGGGTCTTGCTCTCAGCAGCCACAGACCCCAAGCAACGATCCCCCAGTGGTCCTGGAGAAATGCCTGTGCTGGATCTGCCCATTATTGTGTCTCCCAGGTGGATTTGGGTGGGGCACCCCCTGCTCAGAACCCCCGAGGAGGGTTCACCCCCCGTGACACGCAGACAAAACACCTTTAGCACGTTAAACTGGGGCTCTCTGAGCTGCACTGCCCCTCCTTCACCTCCCTGCACAGCTCAGGGGGTTGGATTTCTCTGCAAACCTTCACCTGGACACTGCAAATTTCCCTCCCCCACCTACACACTGTCCCAGTATTTCCATATTCTAATGGGTGCTCCTCTTCCGAGCCCAGAGATGCAAATAAATACAACTCCCCGTGTATTTTAAAGCTGTATCACTCACAGACACCTATTTAGACATATGGTGCAAACATTCCAGGCATACAGGCATTGACTTACATGTAACATATCTCATCACTGTGTAAATGATCTCTCTCAAAAAATTCCTGTTACCATTCCAAGTGTGGAAAAAATTCTTTATGACATTGTACATCTGGAAACAATATTACATTCCTGATGCACTTTCCCTTGTAACTCTCCAGTCGCAGCACCATGTTATTTTAACTTTAAAAAACAAAACAAAACAAAACAAAACAAAAAAAATCAAAAAAACTACTATGAGGATTAAAAAAATGATCATCATTATTATTATTATTTTCCAGCTGAGTGGAAGGAAAGATGTCAGGCCTCATCCTGCTGCCTGCACTTGGACAGGGCTGCCATTGATGTCAACAGGCTTTTTGGTTGAGGGAGTAATTCAGGAGTAGAGACTGGATATGATGTGTTTGCTTCATAGTTGGATTAGGAGTAAGATAAACAACGTGGAAAATGCCAGCAGAGCCTCTCTCTGCTCCAAACTTCCATTGAATTCTTTGGGAAATCCTCCCTGAGACCCCTGAGCCTGCTGCCCACAGGACAAAGTGTGCACGTGGCCTTCATTGCAGGCTGGGGTCTCCAAAGTTTCTGGGACACAGGGTTAGGAGACAGATCCTGGGTCACTGCCACCTTGTCTCCTGCTGTCACAGACACCCAAACCACGGAGCTGCTTTTAGAAAGTCATTCTCCACCATTTGGAGCTTTTGCCTCTGACACTCCTCTTGTTTTAAAGCCTCCTTTTCCTGGGGGTTGGGGCATTTCTGGTTTACAGCCTAAATTCCTTCCTAGTCACTTTATATTTAACAGCAGCTTCAAAATTCCTCTTTCCCATCCTGACCTACCTGAGGATCTTTTCAGACAGCAGCTCCAGCCCTTCTCAGTGCATGTCACTGGAGCCCAGCTCTTGTCCAGCCCCTCTCACCTCAAGGACCATTCCTGCAGCTGCTCCAATGGCACTTTCATTCTCTTTTACTATGGTTACACCAGGATATTGGATCCAACAGGGAATCAGTGGGGTACAATGGTACAGATGCACCCTCCTTTCTCCTGGCAGGATGGGACACAGTGGATCTCCTCTCTGGTTTGTTTTTAGTGGATGAGGCACAGCTCTGGGAACTCACTGTCCCAGTGGCTATTTGGGCTGCAGATCTGAGCAAATTTAGCTCCTTGAGTGCTTTTTCTCTCGCAGTTGAGTCAGTCCTTCCCTTCCTCATACAGAATCTAAAATAACAGCACCTTCTCTTGGGTCAGTCACCACCTGATGAAGAAATTTGCCCCCCAGCCCAGGCCCTGCTGATACCAGCTGTGTGTATTTTGG